GGCCCCCTCCCACAATAGGCCCTTCCTCGGCTGCGGCCGTCGCTGCATCTCCTCGCTCACGCTGGAGGAGCCGATTCCTCTCCCAGTCACGCTGCCCACCAGGACTGCTGTCGATCGCTGGAGGCAGAGGGAACCCAGCAGCTGGGAAAGTCGGGTGGAGCCGCTGGGTGCCCCGGGGGCGCAGGACACCCCGCTCCTCCCAGCCTCCGAGGTGATGCGTCTCCTGTCACCTGTCCTGGAGAGTGGCTGGGGGGGGGGTTGGAGTTTGTCTGCGGTGATGTCTCTGTATAGCCAGCTGTCCGGATGTATGGCCACCCGCACCGGAGCCCTCCTTCGCAATAAAGAGATCAGCTACATTGCTGCTCGGAGGTGCTGAGTCCAGCACAGGGGTGCCAACAGCGGGGGCCCTGATTTAGGGAGTCAACACCAAGGATGTCCCTGGCCTCCTCTTCTGAATTTGGGGTCTCCAAACAACACAGCAGCAAGTACAAGAAGTTATGGGGGGAGATTTATTAAGGCAGCCCAGCCCCCCCCTGCGCGTTACACCCTGTGTTTCAGGAAGAACTTGCCCCAGTAGCGTCCCTTGAACCTCAGGTCGTAGGGGCTGAGGTACTTGCGCATCCCCAGCATGTTGGCTGTGATGATGCGCTCGAAGGTCCAGGGGTTCTGGTTGTTGAGCTGCTTCTCCTCCTCCTCCTTCTGCATGCGCTGGAGCGTGTCGCGGCTGACGGCCACCGCAGGGAAGGGCAGCTTCCTGGCCACCTGCGTGAGGAAGTGTTTCACCTCCCCAAACTCGCAGCGCCCACCCACCTCGACGACCAGGCGCCCGCTCTTCACTGCTGTCACGTAGTGGTCGATGGGTCCTTTGCCGCCCCCCATGCGGTGCCCCAGGCTCTTCCGGGTGATGGGCTTGTAGGGGGCTGGCACGCGCCACACAGCAAACATGGTCTTGGGGTCCATGCAGCGGCCGATGGTCAGGCGGATCATCTCAAAGTGGCCCCAGTGGAGATAACCACCCCCCAAGGCCTGCGGGAGGAAAAGGAGGAGGCACATCAGGGACCAAAACACTCACAGGGGCATGAGGGGTGCAAATACATGACCTGCTTCTGCCACGTTAGTAGCTGTCTCTTCTCCCTTTTGCTTTTGGGTGGGAGCAGCCTCATTTAAGAGGTTTCAGAGTTGCCTTTCAAATCTGATTTAGGCAGTACGTTCCTTACCCTGTCACCAGAGAGGAACTGCAGGTCCCTGCTGGCAGAGGGAGGCCAGATAACTTGGGAAATTCAGCTTTTCAGAGCCTAGTTCTGGCTCTGAGAAGGGCTGATCTGGTACTGGCTCCCTCCCTTGGCTCGTTTCTTCAAAGAGCGCTGGCCATTTTGCTGCCTGCAGGAGGGCTCAGCGCCACATGGGGGATCTCCAGCCCAGGACCTGCTGGCACCAGAACAGGCTGCAGGACAAGTGGCCGGAGTAAACCTGCGGACCTGCGACCGCTTCTCCAGCCCCAACCTCGGTCGCAGTCGGGTGGGCAAGCAAGATATTCCCACGCAG